CTTCCTGAAAGAGTTAAGCCCATGTTTGTATCAGCACAATTCATAATAGCTAACTCTTGGAAGCAGTCTAAATGTACATAACAGATGAATGGACAAAGATACTGTGGAAGTACATAAAATTGAATACTACTCTGCCATAAAGAAAGACAAATTTGAGACATTTGTAGGAAAATGGCTACACCTTAAGAGCATTGTGTTAAGTAAAATATATCAGACACAAAGGCTTAACTAACACATGATTTTTCTTATATGAGAAACCAAAATTATACATAAAGAGCAAAATAAATGAGAGATAATAGGAAGTGAGGAGACAGATCTTTCCCAAATGGCAAGGGATTGAAAAGGAGGAGAGGGAGAAGAAGGGGAGGCAAAATGGATGAAGAAAGAAATTAAGATGTGTTTTATAGATGTACCAACTCCACACAAGGAACATAAACATTATGTACTGCAAACATGTACTAATAAAATAAGCAGTAATAATATGTGGCACCACTGAAAAATTAGAAACATGATATTTACTTTGAAAAATTGACTTTCTATTTGAAAAATTCAGGTCAAAAGAAAAACTTTCCTAGTAAAAAAAAATATTTCCTAAGAAAATAATAAAAAAACCGAAGCTCACTTTAAATATATTTAAATAGTTTATAAACAGCTACAGGTAGGAAAGAGTGAAAATATGCACAACATGAAAATAGCTATAAAAATTAAGCTGGGTTTGATGGTGCATTCCTGTGATCCCAGAATTCAGAAGGCTGAGGCAGGAATATCACTGTGAGTTTGAGCCCAGTCTGGGCTACATAGCAAGATCCTGTCTCCATAAATAAATAAATAAATAAATAAACAAACCTGGAAGAGAGTATGTTAAGTGAAATAAAACAGACACAGAAAGACAAATGCCACAAGTTTTCTATCATGTGTGGAAGCTAAAAAATGTGGACATGAATGTAGAATAGTGATTTCTAGTGATTGGGAGAGAAGTACATAAAGAGAGGTCACTTTTGATCAGTGTATATTTTATGCTTGTGTTGAAATATCATACTGGACCTTATTGGTACATGTTATTGATGCATAATATGAAACAAAATTTATCTCTTATAAACAAAAAAAACAGAAATAAAAATATTGTGATTTAATAATAAACTTTAAAATGTGAAGTAAAATTAAAAATGCATTGGGCCGGGGATTTAGCTCAGTGGTTCCAGTGCCTTGCAAGCACAAGGTCCCAAGCTCAATTCCCGGTACCAAAAAAAAAAAAAGAAAAAAAGAAAAAAAGTGCAAGTATTTTTTGACCAAAGAATGACACTGCTACAAAATTACAGATATGGTAAAAAAAAAAATACTCCTTAATGGTTAACATTTTTATACAAAATTTAAAAAAAAAAACAGAGACTTAAGTGACTAGAGTTAAAGGACAGGGAAAATAAGCAAACATGAAGCCTTATATAGAATATATGTAAGGAAATTAGTGAATTTATGCCTTGATTCCTGTCTTAGTTACTGTTCTCATTGCTGAGACAAAATAACAACTATCCAAAGGTAAAGGAAGAAAAATTTATTGTAGTTCACAGATTGTAGAGATTTCAGTCCATAATCAGCTGGCTCTAAGGCAAGATATCTTGGTAGAGGGGCATCACAGAGGAGATGGCAGGGCAGGGCTTAGTGTCACACCCGCCTCCACTTGGCACCTCTGCTTTCGTGCAAGCCTATCTTCCAACAGCCAGCACCAGCATATCTTTATCTGTGGGCTTTTTCTTGCCACCAATCCTGTTCTGCCCAAAAGCACTAAGCTGAATGTCAGGAAAATAATGTCTCCCCCAAGCAGTCCTAAAGCCATCTCCTACAAGTGGGATAGCATCACAGTTCATGCTCTGCATGATACCCGAGTTCCCAACTTTGTTTAAACTCCAATTCCCCTCATTGTTAGTTTCTCCTCTCCATTCTTTATTCTGTTTCAGATCTCTGTCATCTGATAATGTGATATCACGTCAAAAATATTATGTCTACTTATTCTAAAATCCTCACATCAGCATCTGCTTCTGGGAAACCCATACTATGAAAACAAACAAGGTAGTAATGGCATCAAATTATCACAATAAAATATGCTATGGACCATAATAAGTAGCAAATGTCACGAGAATCAAACAATAGAGTTGTATTCATTTGTTCATTTACTACAAATATACTGGGCACACTTTTCTAGGTCTCTATTTAGTGAAAATATAAAAAAAATCCCACTAAGAAACTGTCCCACAGATTTCTAGAAATGTAGATTATTAACTAGAGAAAAATCACTCTGCCTAGGAAAAGATCCACTCAACAAATAGGCAACTGAAATGAATCAAATAGACATTTCTCAAAAGTAGTGCAAATGACCAATAAATACATGAAAAATGTTCAACATCACTGGTCATTAGAGAAATGTAAATTTAAGCAACACTGCGATTTCATCTTACTCCAGAAAAAAATGGCTATCATCAAGAAATCACATAACAACAAATGCTGGCAAAGCTGCAGGGAAAAAAAGAATACTTCCAAGTTGTTGGTCGGAATGTAAACCAGTACAAGCACTGTGGAAATCAGTATGGAGATTCCTCCAAAAATTAAATTTAGAAACATAGTCAACCTAACTATTCCTCTTTTAAGTATCTTCCCAATACAGTTAAAGACAACATATTACCATAATATATGCATACCCATGTTTATACAGCACAATTCATAAGAACTAAGTCATAGAAGGAGCCTATATGTCCATCTTTAGAGGAATGGATAAAGAAAATATGTTCTTTATACACAATGAAGTATTACTGTGCCATATAAAGGATAAATATGAGTCATTTGTAGGAAAATGGATACAACTTGAGACAATAATATTAAGTGAAATAAATCAGACACACAAGCTTAAATATTAGAAGTATGAGAAACTCAAATTATAAATTATTTAAAGAGCAAAATAGAAGATAGATAATAGGAAATAAGATAGATCTTTTGCAAATGGAAATGTGACCAATAGATGGGGGAAAGGCACACAAAATTGGGTTGGGGGAGAAGAATGGGATAAAAGTGAAGGAGATGAAGAGAAAGAAAGTTCAGAAAGAGGAAATAATGAAGACTGAAAAATATTTCTACAGGTAGATGTTTTTTGAGTTGCATTTTGCACAAGGAATAATTATTACAAACAGAAATGTGGAAAGTCGGACCCTAGGCAGAACAGCAGAAAGTTGAGAGGCCAAGAGTCACATCTATGGATATGAAAACATAACACAGCATGGGTAAGGAAGGCTGAGGAAGGTGAAAGAGAGAGGACAAGAGGGGAAGGCTCTGGAGGCCCTGCCACGATACCTGCAAACATGAATAATGGGAATCCACTATGCTTCTTGGCTCATGAGCTCCAACTGGCACAACCGTCTGTTCTGTAGCAGTGTAAGAAGAGTCTGTCCTGGCTTCAAGAGTTGCTAAGTGCCAGTGAAAAGCAGATGAGTGAGTTTGAAGATATAAACTATTTAATCTAAGCTACACTTGGCAGAAAATTATCAAGTGCTTAGGTACCAAAGGACCATAAGAAACATGTGCTCAGTCCCCTAACTCTGCAGAGATTTAAACATACGTCATAAATCCAAGTCTATCTAGTACACTAATTTTCCCATATAGGACAGTTTGAATCAAAATAATTGTACAACTATGCTATATATTTTGATGTTCCTGAGTAACAGCACTGTATTTAAGAATTCAACTCTCACAAAGGAGATAAGGTTGGCCGTGTGTTTTTACTGGTGGTAAGTATGTGTACACGGGAGCTCATTATGCTATGACCTGTAATTTGATATATTTGAAACTACTCACAGTAAAATGAAAAAGTAAACAATTCTCCAAAGGAAATTACAAAAAGTAGCAGATTCCTTTGAGGTTCCTTTCTATTCATGTGCTGTCCAGGGCTAAAGACTGGCAGAAGGGAGAAAGAAGAACAGCTTTCTCACTCTGAGCAAGAAAAGCTCTGGTGCAGTTCCTTCTCCCAGCCGCCAGCGTGTTCAGACTTAGGCCGGGCATCCCTTCTATCCCAGTCCTTGCTTGGCTTTCTCCTCGGCCATACCTTGCTTTCTTCCAAACCCCACAAGTTATTCCTGAGATCATTACCCCAATAAATCATCTGAAAAAGAACTCGGAATTCAGCACTAAATAATTTTATTTTAGAACTGTTAGGAATTAATCTGTTGATTAGATATAAAGACCAATTATAGGAAGCAAAGGCCTGTTCCCAGACTGAGTCTGCTTTCTTATCTATGGTAATCAGTTTTGTGAACATCGGTTTCTTCTGAAAAATGAGGAAAATAACACTTCCACTACTATACTGAATCATATGGTGAGCAACAAATGAAATTATTCATTTGAAAGCACTTTTGAAAAGGAAAAGTTCTATATGATTACCTTACTATGCTATTTTATTATCACAAACAGTTGTCAACTGTGTGAAATTTAATTATTAATGCATTAATGAATTTGACATGAGAAAATAGTTTAAGGCAAATCAAGACTTGTTGCAATATGCACAACACTGGGCTGACTTTTTTGTTTTTCTTGGGGCTTTCTTCTCTGCCTGCCTTTTCCTGTCAAGCTTGGAGCTAGATGTGAACTTGAACTTTCAGAACTATGCTATCTTTATGTAAAAGAAAAGCATATTTTGATCTATTTTCCAGAGGTGAAGAAATGTTTTGTAAATTAGATGCCAACAATTGATAACTTGTATTCTTCAAAACATAAAAATAAAACAGCAGTTCAGCTTAGTTATATACTGTATTAATAATCTACCTTGTGGATCATGTGCTCTGTTTGTCCAGAATGGCCACAGAAAAGAATAGATGCCGCTTTTTCAATTCAGATTCTAGTCCAGCAATATAAGTGCCCCTATCGCAGAGAATTTAAGTTCCTGTGTGAAGCAGTAATGCAAAGTGAAGACAGTATATTTACTATGACCTGATTAGAACTGCCAGGGAGTGAGGTCTTACTTGCATTATGTTCCTGATGTACAGGTCACCACTTTCACAAAAGAGTCATTGAATTCTCACTTAGTGATGTATTAATCCGGTGCACCACTTCCTAGGAATAAAGTTTGGGGAAAGAAAAGGAGTTAACTGTTAGTTGTATTTTACCCCCTTCCCTTTTTTTGTATGCTTAGTTTTTTTAAAAGTTATTATTCCTCATCCACACATTCCTGTACTAATGAGCATATCTTATAAATGTGGTTTTTCCGCAATATGTATGGAATTACCTTGAAATATCTAAAACAGAATTTAAACTACATGTTCTACTCTTGTGATACATTGTTAAATAAACTTCACTGAAAAATAATTATCTGTTGATCTCACATGGCTTGAGAGTAAGAGGTACTAGTTAGAAAGTCAACACAGGTTAAAGAAATGACTTGATAAACTGTGACAATCTTGTGCTTTGTTTTCCATTTTCCCACTGTAGTTTTAGCCCAGCAACACAGATATAAGACAAAGGAACAGAAACAATTTCTGTAAATTACTTAGGAACTTACTTACTTAGGAACTTACTTAGTTACTTACTTAGGAAAGCATGAAAAAAATTTAAATGCCATTGATTCTCAAAAGCATAGTGACCACAAAGAAAAGCATAAGAGTTTGCTGTTTTTAAAGTCTGCTGTGCATGCTGAAGTGGCTGCAATTTAAATAAACTTTTGAAGCTTTGAGCAAGAAGACAAATTAGCGAAGGCATTGCTAGTAAATGGAGGATACATTTTTAAAATACTTGGAAACACTTTGCGTCTGATTAATAGTGGACAAACTTGCTACTTGTAAGGTCTGGCCAAGGCATGACTGAGACCACCCAGGCAGGCAGAGTTCAAGCAACACGTGATAAGTATATTGCCATCTGGGTGCAAACAGGCCAAGGGCGAGAAAGCCATTGGCCCTGAAAGGAGGCTGCTTGATATGTGGAAGTTTAGGTAGGGGAGGGGACACTGATCAAGAGGGTGGAAAATTTTAGACTCCCATGGGTGGTGGGCCTGGGGCTGGCTGATAAACAGAGCAGTGGTGAGAGCAGCAGGGTGGCTGCTGGCTTCCTGTTATCTCTGTGCTTCTCTGGATGCAGAGAGCAGGTCTGTTTGGGCAGAGCATCCAACTTGGTGGCCTGCCACTACTAAATTAAAAATGTTTGTTTCATATTAAGTGAGTGGAATAGATGGAAAAATGGGTGAAAGACTGGATATGCTGTCCCACTGCCGAGGAAGTAGAATCATCGGAGTCGACTGGGTACAGTCTCGGACATGGGACTCTCCACAGCCTCATAGTTGAACACTGGCCTTGGAGCAGAAAGAAGGATCCTTTTCTGGGAATGAAGTTCCTGAAATTCAAAGGCAGACTTGAAACTGGGGAGATCTGTGCTTCCCACTGGTTCTCCTTGCCCCAAACTATAAAGGCCTCCCTGGGAACCAAGCTCATCCTTTGTCTCAAGCACACTTCTGTGTTTTAAAAATCCTCTGTCTCATTGACCTGGAGGCTGAATCTAAGCAACACTGAGTGAGTTTTTGCTCTTATGCCAGGTTTTATCTTTGCAGCTGTGCTCCTTCCAAATGAAATCATTTTGAACCAAATTAGCAATGTTATTGTAATATTATGAAAACAGAAACAGAGAAAGATAAATAATACCCCATGAAGTTTTTGGATCTATGGTCTTTACAAGTTTTGAACAATTTGTTTGATTGACATGATGTTAGTTCTTCATTGAGTCCTTCCCAAACTGAAGTAAACAAGATACTTCTGAATGAGATCTGTGATTATTCATCAGTGATTAGGTAGTCATGTGGCAGAGTTGTTATCTTAAATAACATCGGATGGCCATACAGATGAGGTGTGCAGTAAGTGCTTCCTTAAGGGCTTAATGTTAATTTATTTTAAAATTTTACACTTTGTTGATTTTTAAGCTGTTAAATGCTTTAGACGTTTACTTCTGGGAAGATTGAGTACATATATTTTCCCCATTTCTTTAGTACAACTAAAAGCCATGGACATTACATACAAAAAAAACATAAGAAAACTATGAAAGAGGGAGCAAGCAGATCATCTACGACTGGGAGCCAAGGAGTGAAGCTGAGATGAGTTCCCTCTGTTTTCTCTTTTCTCATACTCTAAGCTGAATAAGCCAGAGACTCAGAACTGACACAGGTATAGACAAAAAAAGGGAGAGAAGTGGAGGGAAAGGAAAAGAGAAAGTTGTAAGGAAGGAGGGAAGGAAAAAAGAAGCCAGGTAAGAAGGAAGGAAGGAAAAAGATTCATAAATTTGTTAAATTATGTTTGTAGATTGAAGCAAACATTATAACACTATCTGATATAGTTTGAAATATGTGTAGAAGAAATGTATGAGACAATTCTATAAAAATGGGAGGGAAAAAGTATTCTTTGTACACATCTCTCAAACTGTAAAATGGAAAAAACCACTAGGCTATAAATTTATATGATGTATGTTATTATAAACAGAGCAACAACTTAAATGAAGCTACATGAAATGATTCAATAAACAAATAGATAAATCAAAGTTAAATTCTAAAATATATTTAAAAGAAAAGAGCAAAATAAAAAGCAAAGAGGAAATAATAGTAAAATGAAAAGCATAAATAAGGTCTAACATATAAATAATTACATTAAATGTAAGTGACCTGAATATACAAATTAAAAGCAAATTAGCTGAGTTGATATAAATTAAAGCAGAAACAAACAAATACAAAATGGTAGTGGGCTATTTCAACATCCCTCTGTCAACAACTGCTAGAACAAATAGGCAAAGAAGTAAAAAAAATACAAGCATACAACAAAACCAAATATCAACAAAATATAATCAACATTTCTAGTACAATGCACCCAAGTGACAGTAGAATATACATTTTCTTCAAAGTACTCCAAAAAAAGATCATCTCCTGGACCACTGAACAAAATACTTAAAAGAATTGATGATCTGAACATAGATGCAGAAATCCTCAATAAAATTCTTGCAAGAAAAATTCTTGCAAGCAAAATTCAACAACACATTAAAAAGGCCATAAATCATGATCAAGTTAGTTTCAATTGGAGATTGCAAAGATGTTCAACATACACAAACAAATAAGCCACATAAAGCCAATCAGTGAAAAGTCACAGAATCATCTCAGTTGGTGGAAAAAAGTCTTTGATAAAATTTAACATCCATGACAAAAATCCTGATGAAAATAGGTATAGAGAAGCCCTACCTCAGTGTAGTAAGGGCTACATACAGGAACATACCATCAACCTTATGAAGGGAGAGAAACTGAAGACATTTTCTCTAAAATCAGAAATTAAATAAAGCTGTACACTCTCACCAATTTTGTTTAGTATAGTAGCAGAAATTTTAGTCACAGCTGTTAGACACGGGAAAGAAATAAAAGGGTTGGGAATAGGGAAGACTGAAATCAAATCATCTTTATTTGCAGATAATAATATCCTTTACTTAGAAGGTCCTAAAAACTCCACTAGATGACTTAGATCTGATAACAAAACTCAGTAAAGTCACAGGAAATGAAATCAACATACAATAATCAGTACCTTTTCTATACACCAATAGTGAACCTGCTGAGAAAGAAATCAGGAGTATAATTCCATTCATAATATCTTCAAAAGTACATGAGTTTATTGGAAATAAATCTACCAAAAAGTATGAGGTCTTTATAATTAGAATTATAGAAGGAAGAAAACACTAGAAGATGGAAAGATCTTCCATGGTTATGAATTGGTAGTTAAAGTTCTTAAATTTGCTGTACTACAAAAAGTTATGTACAGATTCCATGGAATTCTCATCAAAATACTGATGATATTCAAATAACTAGAAAAAATTCTAAAATTCATATGGAAGCACAAAAGATTCAGAATAGCTAGACCACAAAAGGAGCATAGCTGGAGGTATCACAACACACAATTTCAAATATGTTACAAAGTTACAGTAACAAAAACAGAGCATGACACTGGCATAAAAATAAAATAGATACAGAAATGAGCTTATATAACTACAACCATCTCCTTCCTGAGAGGCCAAATGTATAAAATGTAGGAAAGATAGAGTCTTTAGCAAATGCAGTGAGGAAAAGTGGATATTCCTATATAGAAGATTGAAACTAGATATCTATATTTCACCCAGTACAAAAACTCAATGCAGCCAGGCATGGTGGTTCATGCCTGTAATTCCATCACCTGGGAGGTTGAGGCAGGAGGATTGCTATTAGTACAAGGCCAGCCTGTCGACCCTGTGTCAACAAAACAAATCAATAAAAGTAGATGATCTCAATCTTTGAAACTGCTGGAAGAAAATATGGAAGACATACTTAAAGTCACAGGCCCACACAAAGAGTTCTAGAATAGGACTTCAACATCACAAGAAATAATATCAAGAATCAACAAATAGGATTACATCAAATTAAAAAATCTCCTGCTAAGCAAAGGAAACAATTAACAGGTGAAGACAGTCTACACAATAGGAGAAAATCTTTGCCAGCTACTCTTCCAACAGAGGGTTAATATCCCAGAATAAAGAACTCAGAAAAAATAATATCAAAAAATCCCTATCAATAAATGAACAGACATTTCTCCAAAGCACAAATGGCCATTAAGTATATGAAAAACTGTTCACCATCCTTACCCATTAGAGAAATGCAAATCAAAGCTGCACTGAAATTCCATCTCATCCCAGACAGAATGGTTTTCATCAAGAATACAAAAAACAATAAATACTAGTGAGGATGAGTGTGTATGGGGATCTTTCTGCACTTCCTGTCAGAATGTAAATTAGCACAGCCACTGTCCAGTTTTCTCAAAACACTAGACTTGGAGCTCCCATTTGAATTCTCTATACCACTTCCTTGGTTTATTCCCAAAAGAGCTGAAGTCAGCATGCACAGAGGTTACTGAATACTCGGGCCACAATTCATGCTAACTAAGCCACTGAAAATGGCCAAGTGCCAGGCTGGTCTCGTAGCACAGGTATATATTTCCAGCACCTTTGGAGGCTGAAGCAGGATGATCACAAGTGCACATCCAGCCTGGGAAATGAAGCAAGACCTTGTCTCAAAA